ACAAATGTTCTTCTAACCTTATTTAACTTCATGCCCTCATTTACAGCTAAGCTGTGCCAGGTACTCGGCTCTGGCAGCATTCACCAGATGAACCATGAAATTGATCAAAATACTAGTTGTAAAGTACTCAGGAAGTCATGGCAGGCTGCTCATTTCTCCTTAACTGCTTGGTGATTACCCATTTCTGTTCTTCCTTCATTCTCTTAAGCTGCAGGTGGCTATATTTATAAGTATGCTATTCATGAAGCTGCCAACCTGGGGCATGTGCTGCAGTGACACCAGTTGCTGCTCAAGCTCCAAAGCGCAGAGCTCAAGCTGCTGCAGGTGACAATTCCTATAAATATTGTTATCCCACACGAAGATAATGTCCTAAATAAAAACCAAAAGAACTGTGGATGCTGCAAATCAGGAACAAAAACAAAGTTGCTGGAAAAGCTCAGCAGGTCTGGCAGCATCTGTGGAGGAGAAAACAGAGTTAATGTTTTGGGTCCGGTGACTCTTCCTCAGATAATGTCCTGCAGTTTCTACATATATGATATACTGTCCAAGAAGTTCAACAGCCCTGTCATTCCACTGTCCATTATAAATATAGAAAATAGGAACAGGAATAGGCCATTCAGTCCTTTGAACCAGTTCCACCATTCAATATAATCATGGCTGATCATCCTACTCAGTACCCTGCTCCTGCTTTTGCCCTACACCTTTTGATCCCTTTACCTCTAAGAAGTTTACCCATCTCCGCCTTGAAAATGTTCAATTTTTCTGCCATAAAAAGCAGTTGAGGCTGAGAATTCCACAGGTTCACCACTCTGTGGATGATGAAATTTCTCATCAGTTGCATACCCCTTCTGTGACCCCTTGTCCTGGTCTCCTGGGTCATGAATGAAGGACATGCTTACCTTGTCTGGTCTTGTTATAGTTTCCTTATCTAAATCATTAACCTACTTTGTGAATAACTGGGGTCCAAGCACTAATCCCTTCAGCAGCCCACTAATTACTGGCTGCCACTCAAAAAAAATGACCCATCTATTTCTTCTCTGGCAACCAGTTCTCAATACACTATCTCCAATCCCATTTACTTTAATTTTACATGCTAATGCTAATCTCTTACTTATTCAAAGTCTTCTGAAAATCCATGTAAACCACATCCACTGGTGCCAGCTTATCAACTCTACTGGTCCTTAGATGATAAAACTTATTAGAAAACAAAGACTCACTAGCTATTCACTTTCCAACTTCTTAAGTATAGGGAGGTTAATCAAAATAATTCATATAACCCTTACTATCAAACAAAGAAAAACAAGATTTTCATTTCCCAGCTCTTAGAAACACTAAACTGTTATGGTACAGAAGGTGGTCATTTGGCCTTGTGTCTCTGAACTGGATCTTTCAGCATTTTAACACTGTACCACTCTCCTGCCTTTTTCCCATAACCCTGCACATATGTAAATAGAAATAATCACCTTAATGCCCTTGTGAATGTCTCAATTGAACCTGCTTCCATCATACTTTCTGACAGCACATTCTAGATTCTAATAACTTGCCGTGTTCAATTTTATTCTCACTTTGCAATTTCTTCTTTTGTAAAACACTTGAACTATGCCCAGTGGTTCTTCTCCATTTACATACAGGAACAGTTTACCCTATCGACATTGTACATACCCTTCGTGATTTTGAAAACTTTTATCGAATCTCCTCTTAAGCTGTTTCTCCAAGGAGAACAGAGCCAAACTTTAAGAGTCTGAACCCTGGAACCATTCTCATAAGAGACATCTGCACTCTCTCCAATTCATTCACATCCATCCTATCCTAACTGTATACAATGCTTCAGCTGAGGTCTAGCCAGTGTCTTATACAAGTTCATCATAAACTCCCTGCTCTTGTATTTTGTGTCCCTTTTTATGAAGCCTAGAAAACTGTATGGTGTATTAACCATGCTCACTACCTGTCCTGCTACCTGCAATGACTCATTCTCCTGCACACACTTTGGAATAGCACCCTTTGTTTTATACTCTTTCGATATCCTTTGTATCAAAGTCGATCACCTCATACTTCTCTACACTGAACTTCATCTGCAATCTATCTGTCTACTCTAACAACTTGTCAATGTCCTTTTGAAGATTTACACTGTCTTCCTCAGTCTACAATCCTCACAAGTTTGTGTCACCCATAAACTTGGAAATTGTCACATGCACACCAAGATCGAGATCATTTACACATCTCAGGAAAAGCAGGGGTTCCCACACTCAGCCTCCAATACAAACTGTCTTCCAGCACAGAAAAAAAAAATCCATTAACCATCATCACTCTATTTCCTATTCTTCAGCCAATTTTGTATCTACATTGTCTCTGTCGCTTTTATTCCAGGACCTACGACTTTCTGTGCAAGTCCAGTGTGTGGCCATAAGACCATAGGAGTAGAATGAGGTCATTTGGTCCATTGAGCCTGCTTTGCCATTCAATCATGGCCGATAGGTTTCTCAAGCCCATTCTCCGGTCTTCTACCCATAACCCTTAATCACATACTAATCAAGAACCTGCCTGTCTGTCGTAAATACACTCGACGACTTGGTCTTCACAGCCTTCTGCAGCAATGAGTTCTACAGATTCACCACATTCTGGTTGAAGAAATTCCTCCCTGTCTCAGTTCAAAAGGGTCGGCCCTTCACTCTGAGGCTTTGCCCTCCAGTCTTAGTCTCTCCTACTAGTGGATAAATCTCCTCCACATCCACTCTATCCAGGCCTCTCAGTATTCTATCAGTTTCAATGAGATTCCTCTCTCATCTTTCTAAACTCCATCGAGTACAGACCCAGGGTCCTTAAATGCTCCTCATTATAAGCCCTTCATCCCAGCACTGTATCAAGGACCTTTCGGAAGTCCATGTACACCACGTCACCAGCTTTCCCCTCATCACTTCTTTCAGTTAGCTCTTCAAAAATGTCCAGCAAGTTGGTTAGACACAACTCTCCCTTAACAAATCCATGGTGAGTCTTTCAAAGTAATGTGACTATTCTCCATGTGACTACTTTTTCCTATCAGGATTCCCCATCACTGAAGTTAAACTTATTCGTCTGTAATTACTGGCTGATCTTTGCAACCTTTTTACAATTGCATTCCTCTTCCTTACCAATTTTAAATTGTTAGACAATATGATATAGGAGCAGAATTAGGCCATTCAGCTCATCAAGTCTGCTCTGCCATTCGATTATGCCTTCTGTTGACTATGTCCTCCTCTGTCGCCCTGTTTAGGGGTGACCTGTACGTGAACACACCAAGTGGCCCATGCCTGCTTACAAGATGGCAGTCCAAAGCTAAGCAAAACTAAGCAGCCTGCTCACACAGTAAAACACAACGATACCTTTGAACAGAACTGCTACAAGGTCAGTAAAAGAACGATCTATGTTCCCATCCAGACAGTTCTGATAAAAGGATGCCTTAGGACAGATAAATGACCAATTCTAGCCTCATTAATGAAAGGATGATTGTCCCAGTAAATGAATAACATCAGGTGCTAGGTGAAGTCCCTCAACAGCTGCAAGGACAACAGCTAAAGTTATTTCATAGTAAATTGCTGCTTCTTTGAAGCGATCTGCAATATTAAATAGTTTCTAGTTAAAAATGTTGCTTTCAATACATAACCAGAATATAATACATGCATTAAAAAAATCATTTAAGCCTAGATGTGAAGGTTAACCAGCCTTCTCTTATGCCCTATATAACATTACACTTATAAGTAACTTTATAACATAAGCTAACCTTATAACAAATAGTTAAAACCAATTGACATTTTATTTTTACATTATGTAATTGGGACAGTGAGAAAATAAAAGGAGTAACTGAATGTGGGAAAAATAGACAGCACCAAAATATAGTGGGTAATAGAATTTGAGCTGTCCTTACAGATAAGCAAGCCTGAGAAAGACCCGGAGTATAGACATTAAACTTTTGGAATGCAAATGAAGAGGATCCACAGAAGCATCCCAAGGCCTAGAGCTAACATGATAAGATCATGGGAACCTGGGGCTGTCCACAGAAGCACCCATCATTGATTAGGTTAGCCATGGGATTGGGTGTATGGATTAAGGGGTAAGGACAGTTACAACGGTATATTTGACCATTATAACAAAGCATATAGAATGCTGTATTTTTACTGTAAAAATCAGAGAGTGTCATTGATCTACCTTCTAATTTAGGGGAAGATTCTTTGGCCCTGTCCCTGCATCAACTGATTTCTGCTTGAATAAATATCTTCCAATTGCCTGAATCCTGCCTGAGTTTTTGTCCCCAGTTGGGAGGTACGTTCCTACACCATGGCTGGAGTAGTATCTGCTTTGTATGTAAAAGTAGGTGCAAAATATTAAAATAACACCTCTGCCTCTTGCTTCTAAGTGTAAAACGCCTTTTCAGTCTACAATTGGCCCTACTTTTCTATTTGTCACCCTTTTACTATTGATATGCTTTTTTTAAAAACAGAGATTGATACTTATTTAAGGTCAATAAACGTGGAGCTGAAAAAGCACAGCAGGTCAGACAGCATCCGAGAAGCAGGGAAGTCAACGTTTCAGGCCAAAACCCTTTGTCAGAGCTGGGAAGGGGGAGAATGGAAGTTAACTATTCCCGCTTTGACTTCATGTCAACTATGACCCAACTATTCAGCAGTCTCTTCTCATGTTGCATAAATCGGTGTTCCTTTTCCCAAGGCTCTTTCTTGTGTGTCAGTCCTGATAATTGCATAATGAAAAGCTCAGACTTTGTTTGTCCTTTTAGCCATGTTTAATCATTGTCGAGTAGGGCAGCAATTCTGCAATAACTGTGGAAGTGACCAAATCATGTCAACCGTTGATCTGCTGACTCTGAAATCGGACGGAGGTGCCAGAGTCTGCAAGCTGATCTGAGCAATGCAAGTAAAGATCTTCCCTACAATATACATTTGATTTATGACTACAGCATTCCAAATGAAGAGCCTATGTATTAAGTAGTTTATAGATTGAAATCTGACCTGATAAGGTTCATAGAAAAATGCTTCAACTCCTTGCGATAAATCTCTGATTAAACCAAAAGGATTGCCCAAGACATCTAGTCCAAAGACAAGCACATACAATTGCTTGATTGCCTAGAGGGAGAGAGAAACAGAAATTGTTTAAAAACAAATTAATATTATAAATACTTGTCGTGGTGAGTGGGATTATTAAGTAATAATATTTAAAACTGCACATGAAATATTGTACATACCTGCTTAGAATAATGTCGGATTACCTCCCACTGAAGCTGTTGTGTGGTATAAAACTGATAATTGATTTCAAAAAATGCAAGCCTGCAAAGAACAGAGTATTTGAATATTAAGCACAAGATTTATTTGTCTATCATAATTTATAATGTGATAGTCCCTTGAAAGATGTTAAGCAACACAAACCTGTAGTGAAAAGATTTGAAACTTCAAAACCTTACACAATTACCATAGCTTTCTGGGTATTGAATGCCCTTTCAAGATTGCAAAACACTAACTTCTAAATTACTATAAAAATTTGAAAAACAAGTAGACTTTAACTACACCTGTGGATATTTTTACAAGTACACTAATGTAAAAGAAAGCTACTTAGAGCTGAATGTTTACATCACAACAGGGCACAGCAGAGAGAGAGGCAGGTGGGTTATAAATTCAGGCTGCCAGCCACTGTACCAATTCCGGACTCTGATCCTGTCCCTGGGGCAATTACCAATGGGGGAGAGGATTGGGGAACAACTGGGAATGGGAATGGGAGTGGGTTACAGACACACAACCAAAGTGTAGCCACTTAAAGGTCTGTTATGGTTAATAATTGGAGGTTGGCTGGAATTTCCTTGTTTGTCTCTTGGTCCTACAGGTAGGAGGGAAATGTGTGGCTAGCCAAAGGCCATCTCTGGAAGTATGCATGGAACACGAACTGCAGGCAGGATTACAGCCTCTCCCCAACTGTCTGGCTTCAGTTGCAGCACCGGCCCAGCTGCTCAAGGGTACTTTTCCTTATTGCAAAAGGAAAAGTAGTTGGAAAGAGGTCCCTCCAAGTTCCTGTTGCATTTTCCTCCATGTACATTAGAAACCAATTGTCTTTTTCAGTGCCTGCGATTAGTCTGTTGTCTTTGAGTGCCCACCACTATCTAAATTGGATAGCAAGTGGTCAATTTGGGGAAAATTTGTTCCTCAAACACCATTTAATACTTACAACACAGTCCCGAAGCCCAAAAGGAAGATCATGCACTTGGGATGAGAAGTAAACTTTATACTTGTGCTTCCTTATCTCACTTTTCTTTCCTTATGACTGTTCCTGCTTCAATTTAATTTTGATTTCAAGTACTTTTTAACCAACACTATCTTTTATACAGATTCTTATAACCTTATCTTACATGTTTTAAATCATTAACATTTATCAAAAAGCCAGAAAATAAGTGAATCAGTGAGAGCGACTTTAGACAAATGAGCTTTTGGTTAGACAAGATCCAAAAGCCACTTGCAACCAAAAGAGACAAAAGAACAAAAATGGACATTGCTATGTTGATTTAATCAGATCTCAATCGTACATTAAACTGGAAAATAAACGAATTTTCAATACATCCATTAACTTAATTGCCAACTTATCATTGGCTAGCTCTTTAATAGAAAATTAGAGTCTTGATGACAGCAGTGCCCACAGTGGGGATTCCTGGTGGCAGCAGTAGGCCTGGAGATTAGATTCTTGGTGATAGCACTGCTCAGAGGGAGCCTCCTGACAGTGGAAGGCCCGATGGTCGGACTCTTTGCAGCGTCAGCGAGGCAGTCGCCACAGAGCCGGAGTCTCCTGGGGCAGCAGTGTCACCATCACTGTTCCGAGAGAAGCACTCACTGAGGACCGGAACACCTCGCAGAAGCCCCGAAGATGTGCTCGAGACCCCAATTTAACAGAAAATGAACTCTTATTTAATTTCTTTTTATCTTTATGGTATTTCAAAGTGGCACTGGACTTGTGGTGACAAAACACTTTTCACTGTATCTTCAAGATATCGATGACATTGAATAAATCATTCACCACTGAGAGGACAGACCCAGCAGAGGAGGCAACAGAACAACAGTACACACTGAGTTGTTCCGGATGTACCTCACATTGATTCAAGACCCAATAACGTCCCCATAGAAACCACATGCTGAAATTTGAGTAGCCTTTAATTTTAAGGTGAAATAATTGCACAGAGGCCAGTATCCTGTCACCAAGTTACCCTGTATTTGCACATGCACTGTACATCTGCTCTGATCAGCCAGCTCAGAACCAGTCCCTAGAGTGAGGAGACTTTCAGACTCTGCTGTATTTTATTTTCCTTTATTTACAAGTGTACAGTGTACAGTACACTGACTGTGACCAGCCAGCTCGGAGTTAGTCCCTCATATCAGGAGACTCTCCTAATCCACTGTTTATTTTTTGCTTAATCCCCTACACTACCACAGAACAGCATTGTGCTAATAACTCCTGTTTACATGTCAGCCAGAGCTCCTTGATTGGCCCAGGTTAACAGCCCCAATCAGGGATCTCATACTCAACAAGATCCACCTGGCCAATTTCATTCCAATCACTACACAAGTGAACACAAAATTCTTAAAGGAATTAGCAACAGGCAATGATGTTGGCCTTGCCAGAAATGCTCATGCCCCAGAGACAAATAAAAACACCAAATTTCTTCAATGGAAAATCATAGCAGCAAATTTATGCATGTCAACATATTTCAAACAAATAGTAGAATAATTAAATAAAGTTTTTGGGAGGTTAAACTTAGGGACAAAGGTAGCACAGACTTTATTTTTCTGAATTCTGGAATGGATATTTTGAACTCATTAATAGGCAGATTTTGGTTACATTATTCCAAAATTCTCTGGACACAGGAAAGGTTGCAGTGGATTGGGAAAATATTAATGTAACACCCCTATTCAAAATGGGAGGGAAGCAATATGTGGGAAATTACACACCAGTTGGCTTAACCCCTGGTTAATCAATTATCAAGGAAGAAATATCAGAACATTTAGAAAGTCAAAACTATCTCTCTATCTATCAGAGTCAGCATGACTTTAAGAAGAGCAAGTCACGTTTGACTGATTTGCTAGAATTCTTGGAAGATGTAACAAGCAAAGTGGATAATGGAGATGCCATAGCTGTAACATATCTGGACTTCTGGAAGGCTTTTGATAAGGTGCCGTACAAAGGCTTAATTCACAAGGTTGGGTCATATGGGATTAGGGGTAATTTATTAGCTTGGATAGCTGACTGGCTGATGGACAGAAGACAGAAAGTCGAGATAAATGGGATTTTTCTAGATGGCAAAAAGTAACAAGCGGGGTGCCACAGGATTCGGTCCTTGGGCCCCAGCTATTTACAATCCACATTAACGACTTGGATACAGGGACAGAAGGCTCTGTAGCCAAATTTGCGGACGACACAAAAATAGGCGAAATGGTAAATAGCAATGAGGAAATAACAACTTTACAAATGGATATAGATAGATTAGGAGAGTGGGCCAAAATATGGCAGATGGAATTTAACTTGGATAAGTGGGAGGTCATGCATTTTGGTTGGAAAAATAGGAAGGTGACCTACTATCTAAATGGGGAGACATTTCGGGATGCTCCAGTGCAGAGGGATATGGGTGGCCTCAAACATGAGCCACAGAAAACTAGCATGCAGGTACAGCAGATAATAAAGAAAACGAATGGAATGTTGGCTTTTATAGCTAAAGGAATAGAATATAAAAGTAAGGAGGTATTGTTGCAACTATACAATTGATGAGACTACACCTGGAGTATTGTACACAGTTTTGGTCCCTTTATTTGAGGAAGGATGTGGTGGCATTGGAGGCAGCTCAGAGGAGGTTCACTAGATTGACTCCAGAAATGACAGGTTTGTCGTACAAAGAGAGATTGAACAGTTTAGGCCTACACTCTCTGGAATTGAGAAGAATGAGGGGGGATCAAATGGAGATATTCAAGATGATAAAAAGGTATGGATAAAAATAGACGTGGAGCAGATGCTCCCTCTTGTGGGGCATTCTAGGACGAGAGGTTATAGTCTTAGAATGTGGGGTAGCAAATCTAAAACAGAATTCAGGAGAAACTATTGCTCCCAACGAGCAGTGAATCTGTGGCATTCACTACGCCAAAGTGCGGTGGATGTTGGGACAGTGAGTAAATTTAAGCAGGAGTTATACAGATTTTTAATTAGTAATGGGTTGAAGGGTTACGGGAAGAAGGCAGGAAAATGGGGGTGAAGAGCAGACTTGATGGGGCGAATAGTCTAATTCTGCCCCTATTTCTTATGAACTTGTGCTTCAGCTTAATATAAGAAATATAGTACCATCAAGTAGTGAAGTTCTCTCAGTACCACACAATAAATGTCAGCCTAGAAAACGATGGTACCTTCAAGCATTGCAGATTTCTCTAACTTCTGCACAAAACATTAGTCTAGGTTATGTAGTCAAGTCCTCGGAGGTGCACTGTGAATTTACAACCTGTTAAATGGCACTGAAAGTTTTCACCAAGTAAAACATTCTTTGACTTTGTATTCAAATACCACTATTGCAATCTGCAGAGTATTTCAGCAATGTACGCTGAATAATTTACAAAATCATGCAAGTAATTCACATACTTGAAGACAACATCTTGTACATCAGTGAGAGTTGCTCCAATGCTTTTCAGCAAAAGGTTCAGAGATTGTAGTGGGATCAGGTCTGCTTCTTGTTGTTTGTTACTTTCTTCCCCTCCAGAACTAATGGAGAAGCTCAAATGTAGCTATGAGAACATAAATATTAGTGCAAGAAAATGATAATTAACACAACTGTTGGCAACAATGTTGAAATGCTATTCAAATAATTATGGCTGTAATGATCAGGAACTAGAATATGTATTTGTTGTTGCCCCACCAGTGTGACAGACAATCTTAGATAATTTTCATTTTGACTAATTTGATCTGAATTTCAGAGTAGGATTGCATGTAAGGCCAAGCACTCTTGGAATCTCTAAATGATGCATTCTTGCCTAGAATTTGGCTTTGTGGAGATTCCCTTAATTCTTACAAGATTTAAAGAGTCAATTGTATCATTTGAATTAATGGGCTTTCTTTGAAGTTGTTCTGCAAGAGATTCTCTCAAATATAATAATAAATCAGGCACCTCCAGTATGTAGTATAATTATAAAAAGTACAGTTGGGTGAAAAGTAATTACAATCACAGTTAGCATGAGAAATTACAAATAAGTTATTTTCCACAAAAGGTGCTGGCCTAGTGTAGTAACAGGTCCCACGTCTTACCCAAAATAGCATCTGAGTCCAAATCCAGAAGTACTGCACTCCCATACCCAGCACCCACCATTTGTGTGTGTATGTGTGTATATTTGCGCGCACACATGTATGAGTGACAGTGTGAAAGAAAAAGAGAGCAAAAAATAAATGGATGTAGTTTACACCCACTTATAAAAGTGTAACTGCCTTCTGAGCGGAAGCAAGTTTCATCATGGGATTTGAAAATTCGAGGAGAGGCTCAAAATCTGCTCAAGTTCTTTGGAAAGGTCGGGTAGCCTGTTGGGATTAAATGTACGATTTAAAAAGAGGATAGCCTTTGGCATTGTCAAGCGATTTAGATCCTTTGCTCTTTGAATTTAAAGTAAAGGCTGTGAAGCTGTGAAGACAGTTGGCTAAAGAGGACTGTAAAAATAGATTAGCAAACTGTAGATAGGTAGTGCTAGACATTTGAGGACATATTTAATAATTCCCAAAGGTGTGTTACATTGGGAACGAGAGACTCCATAAGCAGGATGAACCATCCATTGCTATGAAAGAAGTTAAGGGTAGTGTCAAAATGAAAGATGAGGAATGCAATCTAGAGGAAATTAACAGGAGACCAGAAAATTAGGGACATTGTAGAAAGCACAAACATTGAACAAAAAGGAGAAAAGAAGTTGAGAGTGTAAACTAGCGAAAAATATAAAAGGTGTGAGCTCCTGTAAGCATTTAGAAACAGAATAGCTAAAAACTGATCTCTTAGAGGATGAGGAATTAATAGAGAAAAAGAAAATGGAAGACTCTGAAGATGATTTTTAAAAATCTGTTTTCATGGCAAAATAATCAGTTATAGTAGAAAATGAAGGGCCCAAATAGAAGGAGGAGCTTGCAATCATTGTAATTATAGATAAAAATACTACGCAAACATACGGCACTAAAGGTTGACAGGAACCCTGGATTTGATGACCTGTATGCTCAGGTCTTAAAAGTTACACATTTATTGTAATTTTCTAGAATGCCCTAGATTTTCGAAGGTCCTATCAGATTGGAACAATCCTATATGTAACACTGCCATTCAATTAAGGACAGAGGTAGAAAGCGAAAGCAAAAGCAAAAGCAAAACAAGCAGAATTCTTTCACTTGCAGTTCAATTGTTTTGTTGAGTAAGATTCATGGCATCTGGACTGCCATGGCTTGGAGTGACTTTTCTCTCAATTTTCCACTGTTCATCTCATTAATTAAGCAACTGGGTTCTTTGGTGCCGTTCCTGTCAAATCAGACTGCAGGAATGGTGGAAGCACTGGTCACTGCCAAGACCTTCCAGTGCTCATTCCACTGCACCATTTCTTTAAGCGGAGTGGCACATCAATTTACATGCTACAAAGCAAGAACTGGCCCTCTCACTGTGACGCTCAATCGTTATGAAACAAAAAGGAAAGCTCCTATCCTGCTTTGATGGGGATCTGGAGGTCCTGGTGGATGAGACGGTGAGGGGAGACCTTTTCCTTTTCCTGTGAACCGTCACAGGAGTCCATGCCACAAGTCAATACAGGCTTGGACCCAGATCGCAACCTGGTACAGTACTGTGTTCGGTGTCAGAAGGGTCACCGACCAGTGCAGGAAAACGTCAATGATATTCTGCAAGGATAAGTGCGATCATCTCCTTATTGCTACTGCATTCTCATAGGGACATTACTCATTCTAACTCTGGCACTAAACTGACATCTCACCAAGGCTCACGGACTACAACTATTAACATAGAAAATAGGTACAGGAGTAGGCTATTCAGCCCTTCGAGCCTGCACCACCCTTCAATATGATCATGGCGAATCATGCAATTTCATGATCCCATTCCCAATTTCTCTCCATACCCCTTGATCCCTTTAACCGCAAGGGCCACATCAAGCTCCCTCTCGAATATATCTAACGAGCAGGCTCCAACAGCTTTCTGTGGTAGAGAATCCCAAAGGTTCACAATTCTGAGTGAAGAAATCCTTCCTCATCTCAGTCCTGAATAGCTTACCCCTTATTCTTAGAGTATTGTATGCATCATGTCCACGACAGCCAACACACACGCGCCCATCATCATATCGCCATTCCTGCCCTCTGTGCCCTCTATTTTCTCACTGGGGATACTTCACCACCTCTCCTGCTCATGCATTAGCATTAACTTCAACTTCTCATCCATCCATCCCTATCATTTTCAACATCTGCCTTTCTTTCACTGAAGGTATGACTGGTCCATAATTGAGCTGAATTGGCAGACATGAGGCTCTTTCTCATATGTGGAGTAAACACTCCAATAAGGAAGCTAAGATGGAGAGACCTCAGTGGCCAACCAACTTAGTAAGCTTCACTGTACTGTACAATGCTACACTGCTCTCCCATTAACACTAGTGTTACTTCATTCCTAACATTAACAAGCTTTCATTCCTCTTAAGACAACTAATTCCATCTCTTTTCTTATGCAGGCACTATCACCACCCACCAATCCTCTGTAAAAAGACCAGCGGCAGACACGTATCCATTTCACCTCCACCACTGAGGAGGAAGCTATTGGACCCTCAGAGAATGCACGAACAAGGCTTTCACCTGTACCCTCAACCAACTTTTACCTCAATGGGTACACTTTCTAGATTAAACTTGGGGGCACAATCTGCTGACCATGTAACAGACACATCTCTGCAAAGGTTGAATATGAAATGCCCCAGGCTCTTTGGCACTTGAGATTGGAGGAGACCAAATACTTGTTCAGCCCTGGGTAGGAGATGATCTCATGGTCTCAGTCACATGACTTTGTCAAAATGTACAGACAGGCACAGGAACAGCAGGCAAGTTTGTCAGAGGCACTAAGTTATATTGAAGGATAAAGGAGTTTCTAATGTTATCATCAGTAATGTGCTATCTCTGGCAGGCATGTATCTGGTTACATCCATGGACAGGTTGTTGACAAATTTGAAGATTTACTCCTTTGTCTGTGATTCCAAAACCTGCAGAAGCTCAGGTCTAGGTAGTGAACCTGCATATAGGCAGATGACCTCAGCTATCAAGGCCCAAAGGCACCAGGGACCGTATATCCTCCAGGCCAGAACAGCCAACTGCAGAGCAGGCCTTCTCCACCTTTGCTGTGAAGGTTTTGACTGCACTTAGGCATAGTGGGAGGCAGAGGAAGAATTCACACAGGGCGTATAGGTGAAGTGGGTAAAACATCATTACAGATAAACTTTCAATTTTGTAAATATATATTCAATTTCACTATTAAAATGCATGCTGTAGAATGATTTTCACTGCTGGACGTGGTCAAGACCCACCCATGCAAGAGATGAACAGCCTTTTTCAGAAATCGATTTCAGGTCAAACCTGGGTCCCTGGTTAGCACTGCTGCCTCACAGCGCTAGGGACCCGGGTTCAAATCCAGCCATGGACGACTGTCTGTGTGGAGTTTGCACCGGGTGCTTTGGTTTCCTCCCACTGACTGAAGATGTACAGCTTAGGTGGATTGGCCATGCTAAATTGCTCCGTAGAGTCCAGGGATGTGCAGGCTAGGTGAATTAGCCATGGAAAATATGGAGTTATAGGAACTGGGGTGCTAGGTCTGGATGGCATGCTTTTCAGAGGGTTGATGCAGATTTGATGGAGTGAATGGCCTCTTTCCACACTGTACAATTCCTATGCCTCTCTTTCACAACACTCTCTGGTTGCAGATAACCTCAGGTGCCAGGAACCCTGAAAGTATGACATTCAGAATGTGCCCTCAAGTCTAATCTATCTAAATTACCCACAGAGGTGACAGTATCTGAGCGGGTGGAGGGTGCTGGCGACAGCTCTGCCACTATTTCATAGCGAGATCTGTTGCTTGTTCCTCAGAAGTGCAGGTGCAGCTGTTGGCCAGACGGACTAGTCTCTTGTGGGTACAGACCATTTAAATGTTACTGGTGGCTGCAGAAGTGGCAATACGAGTTGCACAATGGGAGTAAAAGCTTGAAAATGTTAAGAATATGCCCACAGTAGTGCTTTTGAGGAAGCAGTGCAGGATGTCATAATGAACCTTTCTTGGTTGCCAGGACAAGATAGCTCTCAACATCCTGCATCGAGAAGTCTGTATTGTTTCTGGTGAGGAGACATTTGCCAGCTACCCCACTATGGATTGGCTCTTTCAGCTCTATTGTGGGACATTTTCTCCTGAGATGAGACAAAGGGAGGGATTCAGTGAGATACAAGTACTTGGCACTTTTAGCTATTAAGAGCTGATGTAGGTGGAGCAAAGATGGGCAAGTATCCCAAGTGAGTGAGAAAGTAGGAAGCAGATGGGGAAATGAGATATACGAGAGCCATTGAGAGAAGATACTGCTGCCTTGGTGGGAGTTTGGTGCAGTAGCAGAGTTAAAATTAGTATAAAGTAGCAAACAGAAAATGGTGACACTTACCCTTGTAGGAAGCAGAACATCGTTTATCACTTAAGGCACTGCTGAGCGTTCATATAAACCTTGGAAACAGCAGTGACCTAGATGACAACTTCGGAGCAGCTGGTAGCATCTTGTGTTGTGCTCTCCTTTGGCCATCCAAGGGAAAGAGGATGGCCCTCATCTCCACTGCAATCTGCAGGTCCTAGTCAGCAAAGTGGGGTGCCAATTTGCCTCTAGAAGACATCTCCTTTCCAATTGTTCAGTGACATGAACCACAAAGGACAGTTCTTGACTTGCAGCATTTGAAAAGGTGCATAGTTGAGAGTTAACTATGGGGCTAGCAGCATGAATCTCTGATGGTCCTAGCACTAGTAAGCATTTTTACCACTGCCGAGCACAAGCTAGAGCAAATGTGGAATTGTGGTAATATGGTACCTACAGAATGAGGTAAGCAGTGTAAAATTGAGAGAGAAAAGAAACCCTTCATGTAACTCCCAGAAATCAACAGTCACTTTCTGGGAAAATTCCATTATACTGTATAAACAAGGAACAAGATTTTCAAATCTGATTATAGTTTCAATAAAATCCTACATTTATTCAGTGAATTACTTAAAATGTTGACTTACTTTGATAGGTGAAATATGGAAATGCTCATATAGACTGACAGGTGTGGTGTCAACAGCAGATTCAGTCAACAGCTCTGTTTGAATATACTCAAGATCCTTCTTGAATAGATCCAGCTTAAAAACAAAATAATTCCAACAAATTAGATTTTGAATTTATAAATTAGAACTGCATTACGTAAATGTCACAAATTGTGTGGTTAACATTTTGTTGTTCTCTTTTGTACTCTAGTTGGTAATTCCGATTTTCAGTATCTTACACACATCTAAAACTTCATTGCACGCATTTAGAACTTCACCAAAATAAGGAAGCCTGGGTTAAATGCGAGGTTGAACTGCAAATATTTTAAATCTGACCCCAAGCAACCTCAAGACTGCCCAATGCTGGTTGTAATTAGAGAAGAGGGGGCACACGATCAATCCACTCAGTGGGTGGACTGAAGCATTTTTAAGAAAATTGGGTATCCTCATTTTAGCAAGATTTCTATTTCTAACTACCATTGGTTTGATTTCTTTGATCTCTGGAAATTGACAGGTAAAAGATGGTAAGAAAAGATAATCCATAACAAAACTGTTTCCACAGTTCTGCTTGTGGATCAGGGGAAATGAGTGTGATGCATTCAGCAGAGGCCAGGCTTTACCTACAGGAAGACTTGGAAGCAGAACAGTGTGGAAAAACTTGATGACTTGGATAGGCATCAGAAGGGGCAGTGATTGACTTATTTTTGACTAATGTATTTATCTGCCACTTCAAATTTGCAAGCCAAAGAAACTGCATTTATACCCAAATAGAAATACTGAAATTGTGAACATCTTAGAAGTAAACGAAGAGGTATTAAAATAAACGCAAACTGGACCTTTTTTACTGTTTTCACTTATTCTATACATGTTTGTTTTCTACCTTTTGCTCTGCAAGAACAGTATCTGTTGATTGGGTGAATAGGTCCATCACAGCATAAAGAAAACCAAGATCTAACTTCAGATCCATTTCTTGAATTAGGACCTTAAAATACCTGTTACAAGTATATAACATAATCTTTATGAGAAAACAATAATGAAGATTAATTTCAAGTTGAAGTCAACTAAATGCAGCTAATTAAAATATGTTCATCATAATTATAATCAAAATATTGCTAATTCATCACCTGAGCAAGCAAAAATTAAACAGCCCTTGCTATAGATGGTCCTTTGTTTGTATCCCATTTTAACTTTGTCTGGTTATCTGCAGCATTCTATTCTTTCTTTGTAGGACTTTTTTTTTTTACTTCTTCATTACATTTTTGTCTTACATCATGAAATCTCTCTTTTTGTACACATTTCCCTGTTTCAGACACATGTTGTTTTATCGAACCAGGTCCTGGACTGGGTTCTGCATAATAGTGTGATCTTCTTGCTGCTGTCCAATGAACCGATTCATTGTTTTATTGGGTAAAATGTGGATTCGTGTGACAGGTTGGAGATTCAAGAACAGAACGTAAAAAGATTTTATTCTGGACCTACATGAGACAATGACTGAATGAAAAACTAAGATAATCTAGTTATTGCACCTTCACGATTGGAGGAATTAGACAGAGGCTTTAGTTGATAATGCACGTGTCTTTCAGTCAAAAGGCAAGAATTTCAAGCCCCAGTTCAGGATGAGAGCATGCAAATTAAGGTGACACTGAATGGGCTGAAATGCGGGAAGAATATACAGCAGGAATATGGCAGTCAGCCTGTCAAACTTGCTCTGTCATTCAATTTGATCATAACTGATGACCTACCTAAATACTACTTTCCCTAGATACCTTGATGTCACTGGTATCCAGAAATCTATTGAGTCTTCTGAAACAAGCTCAATGATTGAGTTTCCATGGCCCTCTGGAATAAAGAACTCCAAAGATTCACCCTTGCGAGTGAAGAAATACCTCCTCATCTCAGTCTTAAATGGCTGACTCCTTATTCCAAGAATATGTCCCTTGGTTCTAGATGCAGGAGTAAGTGGAAACATCCCATCTTCACCCATCCTTGTCACTCTCCAGGGATTTTCTAAGTTTCAATGAGATCATGTCCAATTTGCCTAAACTCTCGAGAATATAGGCTGAGTTTCTTTATTCTGACCTCAAAACAATTTTGCCATCTCAGGTATTGTCTGTTGCACTCCATCTTTGGTAAAGTGTATTCTCTCAGATAAGAAGAGCAAAACTGTACACAACACAATGCATTTTCCAGTGGCCAGATAGTTTTTCTGCAGTGTAGTTGGGAGTTGTATATCAGTAGCCATGGGAACTCGGGTGTAGCAGATTCTGAGGGATTGCCAGGGAAATAGTGAGATTGTCTAACAAAATCTTCAAAGCGTGGAGCCCTCAGGGAGCATCCATTTAAACTGCAGAACTCAAAGGATTCCACTACTGTTAAATATATAGTTTTCCAGGAAAAGTTAGACAATTAAAAACCTAGTCTAATGCCTGGGTAACTGTTAAACTGAATTCCAATTTACACCACACACCCATCAACTACACCCCCCATTTCTCACCACCTACCCAGGACCTGACTCCCACCGCTCTAACATTAAATTCTTCTCCTCTCTCCCCTAGGTTGTAAAGAAGTAGTATTCTTTGACTTCCTGCTCAATGAGGGACCTGTCAGATTTAAAGTAATGTCCACAATTCTGAAGGAGTCCTAACTGGAATCTCCTGTCAGAAATGCAGAGATTTTTCATAATGGAATAAGGAAAGGAGTGGCAATCTCAGTGCAGTTGCCACTGCTCAGAAAATCTGATCCAATATTCTAGGGCTCACCAAGGCTCTGTACAACCATATCACGACATCATTATGCCTGTAATCAAATCCCTTTGAGATAAAAATTAACATAACATTTACTTCGCTAATTGCTTGCTCTACCTATGTACTAGCTTTTACTGACCCATGAACAAGGGCACCTAAAGAGCAACTGACAAAGGAAGAACCGTCTTTCAGGTGAAACATTCAGCTGAGATCATGTCTGTTGGTGATGATGGATCCAAAAGGCTCATAATACGATCTGAGGTCAGGCAATTTTCTCCAAAAGCAAATCAGATGCTGATTTTTACCATTTATCTCTTTAGGACCTTGCTACAAGTGAAGCAGCTTTCATAACAACAATAACTCTACTTGAAAAACAATCTGGCAGTATTAAGTGCACCAAAACTTTTTTAAAACACGCAAACAGTGGAAGTAAAGATAGATTATAAAAGCTTTTCCTCCAAAATGGGAAATTACAAGACTCTATAGGGGTAGGCAACGGGGGGTCAAGCAGGAATCTAGTGGAATCAGAGTAATGACCTTTATTTTTTAAACCTAGCATTTAAAACAATGCAGCATGAAATAAAATATAAACTTTTTGGAAGTTTCTACAACTAAATTATTACAATAAACTTTACTGTTTCTGGAAGTCTATATATAGATTTATATATATGTAGTAAAAATCATATCTCTATATTTTTCCACTTTGTTCTGGAAAATTATTTAAATAGAAATGTGACCTTCAATCAAATTTTAACCATGCTATATGTTGAGTTGATGCAGTTAACCTACCAGAATGAAATCTTTAAAATGCTTCTATTCTCCAGAAATAACTGCACAGAGGCTGGTATCCTGTCATCAAGTCACCCTTTATTTACGCGTGCACATTACGTGGACTCTGGCCAGCTAGCTAAGAGCCAGTCCCTAAGTGAGGAGACTCAGACTCCTGTTTACATCTGTCAGCCTGGGCTCCCTGATTGGCCCAGGTTAACAACCCCAATCAGGCATCTCATTCTCAATGACATCCACTTGGACCACCTTGTTCCAAACACTGTTTCCTAAAATCTCAAGTGTAATTTGTTTTAGTGACATGATTTAATGGTTCCAGTGCTGACAAAATCAAAAGCAGAATACTACAGATGCTGGAAGTTGAAATAAAAACATTGAACAGTGGAAATACTCAGCAGGTCAGACAGGATCTGTGGAGAGAAAAGAAAAAGTTCATTTTAGGAAAAGTCAGATGTAGAATAGACTCTTCCCAGCCACTGAACAATATTAGCATTGGTGAGAAATTTTGGGGGAATTCTGTGAGAACATCAATAATGTGTTTCCCGACGTTGACAGCAAAAAAATCCTGTTTTCGAACCAAGTGTTGATGAGTGACTGTTGTGACTTTTATCAGTGAGCAGAGAGAGGCCTATCTGCATGCATTAACGTCATCATTACTGTGTCCTCTCACCTCATTGATATGCAATTTCCCATTCTCTCACCCATTGGATAGAAACTAGATAGCAACAATTCCTGAAATGAAATTCAGATTGGTAACCTGGCAACTTTGATTCACCACTTGCTACTCTGGCTTGCCTTCTTGGAAACCAGGCACCAACATCTCAGGGCGCGCTCCATGGACAGTGACTGTCCACATCCCACCCCATCCACCAAACCTAATGAAAGTCCCAAGTCAGTAAAGTGGGGAGCCAATTTCCCTCTGTCTAGCATCTCTAGGCAATTCACAGGAACTGGTAAGGGCAGTTAGACTGCCCAAGCTTGACTAGTTGCATGGCAGAGCTTTAAAAGGTACTGCCAGCAGCAGGAATCCCAGGTATAGTCGCATCCACATGCCTGTCGGAAGTTCCAGGATTTTGATCCATTGAAAGTGAACGTAATGGTAATACAGTTTCAAATCAGAATGGTTTGCAGTGCGGAAGGGAACCTGGAGGCAGCGATGCTCCCATGTTTCTGCTACCCTTATCCTTTTAGGTGGCAGAGTTTGTCAATCTGGAAGGGCCATTGGGGAATTGCTTGTAACAGGACTTACTGCTGTCACAATAAGTTGGTGGCAAAGGGAGTGAATGTTTAAGTTTCTGGACAGGGTGCTGATCAAGCAGCCTGCTTTGCCCTGCTGTCATGCTGCTTGAACACTGTTGGATCCATAATCGACGCAGGCGAATATTCCATCACACTCCTAATTTGAGCTTTGCAAATGTCAGAAAAGGTTTTAGGGAAATAAGGTGGTGAATTATTCACTTCAGAATTTCCAGTTTCTCACCTGCTGTTCTCACTACAGTATAACTGTGGCCTGTGCAATTCAGTTTCCGATTAATCCCCTGTTTATTGTGGGGAATCAGTGATGGCGATGCCATTACTGTCAAGTGGAGATGATTAGATTCTCTCTTCAAAATGATCAGTGCCTGGCACTTACATGGGATCAATGTTACCTGCCAAGCCTGAATATTGTCCAGATCTTGCTGTCTTTGGACACAGATTGTTTCAATATCTGAGGAGATGATACTCATGGTGCGGAGCATGGTGCAGTCATCAATTAACATTCCCACTTTCAACCATATATTCACAGACAAGATCAATTTCACGTTTATGACTTACCTAAAACGAGTTATATCAGACTTCCCTGCGAACCTGGTGATAATACTGACATCAGCAAAAGGCTTTGGTGCTATCAAGAAAAATCAAAATATTTAAGAAATATCTTTATTTTTTAAAGAGTCAATTACAGAATTGCTTCTAACTTTCTAAACTGAACATAAAATTCCAAAAATATTATTATTTTGATTCAAGAGTTTACATTTCATTCTTACATAATCTTTGGAAAGGAGATAATAAATTCTCGTAAATACTTTTAAATGTCACAATATAAAAATTCACACACAGTTGAGGTCAAGTACTTGCAGGAAACTTAAAATTGCAGTTAAAAAGGATCAAGCAAATATAACTTCCTAATAAATGAAGATTCCATAGCTCCAAGCTCCACTGACTTCAATCAACACCATAAAGTTTATTTTAAACTAGAGTTCATAGCCATGAAACAGGACACTCAAAATTTCAACGAGTATGCATATGAATGCAAAAATAAGTTTTCATGTAATTTACAGCAAATATCACATTTAACACATTTCACTACAGCAGAGTGCACCAGTAAATTATACAAAACCAACCTGAATCCATGGTGACTGACTTGGGGGGAATAATTGGATAAAACGGAAAAGGAAAGATGGCCCCAGGCAGCTGATTTTGAATCTGAGAACAGAAACAAAAATAAAGTAGCTATTTAGTTCAAAAACAATAAATGTTATCCTAATAACATATATGCAATATTACTACCTTCAATCAGCATAAAATTAAATTTTAATGATGAGAATTAGAAAACACTTGGTCCAGAATAACTGAAATATATTTTGAATTTACAGCATCTCTCGGTGACCAAAGATTTTTTTTTAAAAAGAGGAAAAGAGAGACAATTACAACTATTTGTTTTCCCAAATCTCAGTTTTCTTCTCCACGAATGATCACAAGCTTTGCAACTTGTAGAAAAGAGGCTACTGAGCACCATGAAATGGAAAATTTCTTCTGTGGTCCATCATTCATTGCCAATGAACCATTTGATAAAATTGTTAACTTTGACTGCAAATGCCACGAAAGGTCCACACAACTACTGTGTAGTGATTGTAATGAGGTCAGCCAGGTGGACCTCATAGAACAAGTTCCCTGATTGAATTAGATTAACAGCACCAATCAGGAAGTCCTGGCTGACACATAAGAACAAGAGTGTCAGACATCGAGTTCACTCTAACAGCTGGCTCAGAGGCAGCTGGATCGCTGTCAAGGATTTTCCATGTGTCAATAAAGGGTGAGTTAGTGACAGGATACTGGCCTCTGCAGTTATTTCTGTAGGTATGAGAGAAAAGCATGCTCCTGAAAAAATTCACTTGCAACAGTCATCTTTGAGTTGGGGTAAACATTTCTGGCATCATGCCATTATTTGGGAAGCTTGACTCGTTTGATTCTGCTGTCGAAGACTGGGCCCAACATGTGGAAAGAATGCGTTTTTCTTCCCCAGGCAAATGATATTGGAGCAGATGAAAGGCAACGTATAATTCTCCTGACAGTTTGTGGGCTCGCAGCTTTTTTTTTGTTTATTAGGAGCCTAACTTTCCCTGAGGCACTAGGCACTAAGAACCTTTCAACAGTTGATGGACTTAGTTAAGGAATATTATGACTCAAGCTGCCTTTAATTCTGAGACACTATCAGTTTCACTCGAGAATTCGAGAACCAGGGGAAACCGTATCGGTATTTTTGACTAGGTTAAGATGACCAGCAGAGGCATGTGACTTTGGTTTAACCCTTAATGAGATGCTGAGACACTGTTTGGTATGTGGGATTAATGATATAACCATGCAAAAGCAGCTACTAGCTGAAGCCCAACTGGACTTCAAACAGGCACTACAACTGGCTCTGTCGTTGGAAAACTTGGTAAATGGAGCATATGAGTTGTAGGGTATTCTGATGGAAGTGGACATCCTCATCAGTCCACCTGAGCTTGGGGAACACCACGAGAGTGAAGGCAATTGCACAGCCTCAGTCAGGACATATCCAGAACAAAGGGACTCTAGGTCAGCCCATGGTAAAATCCCAAAACAAAGCCAAGCCTTAGCCAAATTGTTAAAACTTTCCTCAGGATCCGGGCCAGCAAGCCATTCTAGTTGCTGCCAGCATGAGGACTCGAGACAGCAAGAGAGTCCCACTAGACCTAAATGGAGTGACAGAACTCACTAGTCAACCTGCATCTGGTTTGGAACAGTTAAAGTGCTTAGCAGCATCCAAATCAGAACTGTCCGCTCCACACTCCCCTCCAGCCCCACCACACCCGGCACTTTTCCCTGCAACCGCAGGAAGTGCTACACCTGCCCCCATACCTCCTCCCTCACCCCCATCCCAGGCCCCAAGAAGACTTTCCACATCAAGCAGATGTTCACCTGCACATCTGCCAATGTGGTATACTGCATCCGCTGTGGCTTCCTCTACATCGGGGAAACCAAGCGGAGGCTCGGGGACCGCTTTGCAGAGCACCTACGCTCGGTTCGCAATAAACAACTGCACCTCCCAGTCGCGAACCATTTCAATTCCCCCTCCCATTCCTCAGACGACATGTCCATCCTGGGCCTCCTACAGTGCCACAACGATGCCACCCGAAGGTTGCAGGAACAGCAACTCAT